GAGGGAGACACAGAATCGGAAACAGGCTCCAGGCTCTGAGCCATCAGGCCAGAGCCCGACATGGGGCTCGAACTCGCGGACCGCGAGATCGTGACCTGGCTGAAGTCGGACGCTTAACCGACTGTGCCACCCAGGCGCCCCAAGAATGGAAGCCTTTTGAAAGGCGTGGTGGTTTTAAAGATACACCCGCAAGTTCTTTTTTACTCCTTAGCTCAAGAGGCAGAACTTAATTCCTCTCTCCTTGAGTGTGGGCTGGAACTCAGTCTTTTGGCCGAAATTATGTCGCTTCTTCATTTTTATTATTATTTTAAATTTTGTGGTTAACTATATTTAATATGATATTGACTATGTAACCATTTTTCAGTGGATGGCTCCGTGGACAGTTGAGTCTTGAGAGAGACCCCCCAACCCAGAATCGCCCGGCTATGCTGTTCCCAGATTCTTGACTCACCGAAAGCATGGGTGGCATCTTTCAGGGTGCCGTTCAGTGTAATGCCATTCACAGTGTTGTGCAACCAACACCACCATCGCGTCCAGAACTTTTTCATCATCTCAAACTGGAACTCTATCCCGATTAAACAATTCCCCATTCCCCGCCTGCCCCCCAGCCTCTAGCGACCACCGTCCTTTTATTCTCTGGGAGTCCGATTATTCTAGATACCTCCTGTAAGTGGAATCATACTGTATTTGTCCTTTTGTGACTGGCTTACATCACTCAGAATCATGTCCTCAAAGGTTCATCCATGTTGTGGCCTGTGTCAGAATTTCCTTCCCTTTTAAGGCTAAGTAATATTCTACCGTACGATACCTTAATATGCCGCAGTTGCTTAGCCCTTTGCCAATGGGCATTTGGACTGCTTCCGCTTTGGGGCTATTGTGAATAATTCCGCTGCGAACATGGGTGTGCAAGTCCCTGCTTCCCATTCTTTTGGGAATATCCCTGTGAGTAGGATTGCTTCATCGCACAGTAACTCAATGCTTACTTTTTTGCTTAACTACCAAACTGTTTTACACAGCAGCTACACCATTTTATATTCTTAACTGGTGGTGCACAAGGGTTCCAATTGTTTCACATCCGTAACAGGACTTGTTATTTACCGGTTGTTTTGAGAATAGCCATCTTAATGAGTGTGACACGAGATGTCACTTCTGACACTAGATTATCGAAGGACTGGAGCTTTTGTCTTGGATGTGTGTGGCTCTCCGTCTGTCTCCCATCACGCCCGTTGGGGAAAGTCATCTGCTCTCTTGTGGGGAAGACTGGGGTGAGGTCCATGGCAAGGTCCCTATGTTGAAGAACCGAGGGCCCCTGTCAACAGCCTGTGAGTGAGCCTGGCAGGGGATCCTCCCCCAGCGAGCCCCGAGGTGACTTCAAATTCCCTCGCCAAACTGTCCCCAGATTCTTGACCCATAGCAACCATGAGAGAACAAACCGCTAACTTTGGGGTGATTTGTTATGCAGCAACAAACAACTATTCAGGGGGTAAGAACTTCAGGACCAATTTAGTCAATAGTTCCACAAGTATTTACTGAGCAGCTCTGCTGGGCACTGCTCTAGGCGCTGGGGATACCCCAGTGAACAAAGAGGAAATGCCATCCTGATCCCATGGAACTTCTATCCTAATGCACGGAATAGGAGAAGGTGGTCAAAAGGCACACGCCTCCACTTAGAAGACAAATATGCACTGGGGATGTGATGTGTAATGTGATAATTACAGCCACCACTGCTGTGTGATGTGCAGGAAAGCTGTTATGAGGGAAAATCCTGAGTCCTCACCACAAGGAGAAAAACTTCTCTTTTCTTGTCTTTTCTATTCTTTTCTCCTTTCCTTTCTTTTCTATTCTTTTCTTCTCCTTTCTTTTCTCTTTTCTTTCTCTCTTTCTCTCTTTTCTATCTTCTTTCTATCTCCTTTCTTTCTTCCTTTCTTTCTTTCATATCTTATATGAGTTGATGTTAACTACACTTATCATGGTGATCATTTCACAACACACATAAATTGAATCGTTATGTTGTATACCTTAAACTTATATAGTGTTGTGTGTCAGTTGTGTCTCAACACAACTAGGAGAAAAAAGATTCAATGAAGTCATAAGGTTGGGGCTCTGATCTGATAGGATTAGTGTGCTTGTAAGAAGGAACATGAGAGCGCTTTCTCTCTCTCCCTCTCTCTCTCTCTCTCTGTCTACTGAGCAAAGGCCACGTGAGCAGCTAGTGAGAAGGTCGTCATCTGCAAGCCAAGAAGAGAGAGCTCTCACCAGAAACCCAGTCTGCCAGAACCTTGATCTTGGCGCTTTCAGCCTCCAGAACTGTGAGACAAGAAATTTCTGTGATTTAAACCACCCCGTGTATGATATTTCAATGGCAACCTGAGCCGACTAATACCGCCTCATAGGGATTGTTCGTTAAAATTACAAGAATAAAGGCGTGAACTCCGGAGTCACACGTTTTGGGTTTGAATCCCAGCTCCACTGCTTACCGGCACCGTGACCTTAGGCAAGTTACCTCTGTGCCTATCAGGAAAAAATAACTGCCTGCTTCACGGGGTGACTACAAAGATCAAAGGAGTTCGTATTTGCGAAGCAGAGTGCCTGGCTCGCGGCAAATGTACAAGTGGGTGACAAATAAATAAGAGACTGATGAGTCACATTCTATTAGGAAAACAGAAGCCACCTCCGTGGTTTGAGCGTGACGTTTAGTGCTGGGGACTAGGGACCTAAACACGTCTGGAGACAAGACAGGGATGAGAGGGCATGGAACACAGAGGCAGACAGGCTCCTTCAGCACCGCAGCCGGGACTCCCAGAGTACAACTGAAAAACCACAGGCCAACACCCACGTCAGCTGCCTGCAGCTGTTCACACCGGCTTCTGGAGAAGAAGGGTCCCTGCTTCTCCTCTGTCCCCCAGCGCCTCTCCGATGCTTTCCTGTGGGCAGGGGACGTTGGCAAGTGTGGGTCTCCAGCTGTCCACGGCCCCCAGGAGAGCTCAGGAAGGCAGGGCTGGCACCAGGTCGAATCGATTTGGTTTCCCTGCAACTCCTCAGAAGGAGGAGGTTTTACTTAACTTCTGATTATCTTCGTATGTGCTTTGCCTTCACGTGTTATTCAACATTCCGAGAGCCCTCGGAGACCTTCCGTCTAAAGCTGTATTAGCAATTCCTTAGCGTCAGGAAGACCACAATTTATACCCCTTTAACCTTCCCGTTGGACTTCAATAGGGCCTTGCACACGTGATGCACAATGTATGCTCAAGACATTTTTACTTATTGAAGGAAAAAAACGTTATAACCCAAAGGACTATGAGAATACAATTCAAGCAACCACAAAGCAGCCTGAAACTCTTTTCGATAAGATCTGCATTTTTTTTAAATCTAGTTTTTCTTTTTCTTTTCTTCCAGCGATAGTAGGATTTATTATTAAAAATGCAGTTATTAAAAAAATACCGCGGTGCCTGGGTGGCTCCATTGCTTAAGCGTTGGACTCTTGATTTCAGCTCAGCTCACGATCTTGTGGTTTTTGTGTTGCAGCCCTACCTTGGGCTTTGTGCCGACAGTGGAGGGCCTGCTTGGGATTCTCTTCCTCTCTCTCTCTCTCTCTCTGCCCTTCCCCTGCTTGTGAGTGTACACGTGCGTGCGTGATCGCTCTCTCAAAATAAATAAGATTTAAAAATGAAAAATTAAAATAAGATTACAAAAATATCCATGGCATGTCACAAAGACACGGGAGCCAGCCTGATGGGGCACGCATCGGCCAAATCCAGAGCGATCGGAGCACAAAAATAATTAATAGTATAAATCATTGGAGAAATAATAACCTGCAAGTCAATACTGATGACAATAGGTAATAAGCAAGAATAAACGGATAAGTAAATAACTGGGGAGAAGGAGGACCTTTGCTCAGGGCTCGCTGATCAACTTGAGGGTGTGCTGCAGCTGGGCACTCATAGTGAAGCCTGTGGCAGGCAAGGATCATCAGTAGATGCTCAATCTAGGCATTTTGATGAGGAGCTTGGTCCGGAAGTGTCTACCCTCAAACCGCTTCTTAGTTGCCAAAAGGGAAGAAAAGAGCAATTATACAACGGAGAAACTGGACAATGTTGACTGGGGTGATCCAAATCGACATCACCAATGAAGAGCAGGCGAATATCATGTACCTCCGGAGATGCTACCCTGAGAAGGGGACGTCACCTGTGTAGTATTATGGCCCAGAAGGCACCCTTGCATCTAATCAGGAGGAAACACTAGCCAAACCCAAGGTGGAGGACATTCTATTTTAAAAAAAGAAAAAAAAAAAAAGGCGGGGGAGCTATATTTTTCAAAAATGTCAACAAGAGTGGAGAAATGTCCTCAACGAAGGGAGAAGAAAGAAGCATAACAACCAAGTGCAAACCGACTCTAGCCTGACTCCTGTACTGCAGGAAAATTTTCTATGAAGAACGTACTGAGGGGCACCTGGGGGGCTCAGTCGGTTAAGCGTCCGACTCGATTTTGGCTCAGGTCATGATCTCACGGTTGAGTTTGAGCCCTGTGCCGGGCTCTGTGCTCACAACACAGAGCCTGTTTGGGATTCTCTGTTTCCCTCTTTCTCTGCCCCTCCCCTGCTTGCTCTCTATCTCTCTCTCTCAAAAATAAACATTAAAAAGAAAAAAAAGAACGTTATTGAGTTAACTGACAACACGGGAATACCCGTGCCAATGACAGATTAGATTAGACAAAAGCATTATGTGGTGTTAATTTTACTGAAACTAATAATTGTGCAGTTGTTAGGAAATAAACACTGATATATAGAGACATAAAGAGTCTTATTGTGTGTAACTTACCCTCAAAGTTCAGAAAACAATTGTTAGAGAGACAGGACTAATGATAAAGCAAAGGTGGCAAAAGGCTAATGATGAGGGAACAATACAGATGTTCTTAGTCCTATTCTTATTCTTTCAACTTTTCTGTAAGTTTGAAATCATTTCCACATAAAAAAGGAAAAAAAAAAGTTCAAATCTATGAAACAATTTTTCACTTTTACCTAATTTCCATATGACAAATTTCAAACAACTCAAAACTAGAAAAGAAACTATAACCAAATCCCATGTACTTAATTATATATATATATATATATATATATATATATATATATAACCCTTAATAACAGATGAAGTTCAAATAGATTCCTGGATATAGTCTGGAAACTTAGGAATTCTAAAGGTATAAGGTGTACCCATTGACGGACACCTGTGTTCCTAGCAAAAGGGAAAATGCCAAGTGATGGCCAGGATGGGCCCGACTCTATCAGCCTTGAGGGCAAGGCTCTTGTCTGATCTCTCTTATGTTCAGGGCCCACCACACTGCTTGTTGTAGAGTGGGTGCCCGATGGACTTTATCGTGTGGCTGAGTGGACAGATAACGAAGGAATAAGATGTCCCCCAGAGCCCTATCTATCCCTAGCCAAGCTTTGGGGCAGTGCTGTGGTTTCGAAGTTGTATGCCTTTCTCCGTGCACGGAGAACAGGGAAGACTGGCTTGTCCCACCGCTTTCCTTTTGGTTCTTCCGGTGGCTCTTCTAATCTGTAGGGCCTTGCTGAAGCTAGTTAACTTATTCCCAACTGGACTATTCTTGTCTATGTATAAGTCAGCAGAGTTAGTTGATTCATATAATTCACATAGGTATTTCTTTCATTATTAGATCTTCCTCTTTTTAGTGAGTGATACTTGGCCCTGAATTCAGAAATTATGTTTGGTTTTAGAATGCACATGCAAAACACAATAGGTAAATACTGATTTAGTCCAGGGTCTCTGGAAAGCGGATGCCAAGAAGGAATTAGATATGTAAGAAACTTATCGGGGAAAACATCCGTGAGGGATCGCAGGGAGGAAGTGGAAGAAGGCAGGGCGAGCTATCAGACCGTGATGTGAGTCCGAGACCCGCGGAGAAGAGAGGGAATGAGAAAAGGAAGAAGGCGGGGAGGGAGGGAAGGAGGAAAGCCACATACATACAGCTGTGTGGTTCTAAGAAAGTTTCAGCAAGGATAAAAGGGAATCCTTGAGCCAAACTCTCATCAGAGGAGCCCCTGTCTCCCAGGAATGGTCTCGTTAGTAACCCCGCCGTGCTCAGTCATTGGCCAGGAGCAGACCTGAGAAGGATGGCCAGCAGCTTGGGAGGCTGATTAATCTTCCTGCACTAGGAGATCTGAGAGGCATTACTCCATTGGCTGCTACCGACAATAATTTGCATGATTTAGGCTTAGCTACCCTCTGCTTTTACCTGAAACAGTCGTATGATCCAAGGCAAGTTTAGGGTTTAGGCATTAATCATCCATTTGGACTCTGCTGTCATTGCCATTTAGCTTTGAAGAGGGAGTTGTAGTCAGGACATCCTGAATGAAGGTTGAGAAAAGGGATCCATGTTGCACTGAAAACATTAAGCTATAGCTTTGCAGCAAACGATGTTCTGCTTTCATTTCAAGATACGGTAGGTGCGTTATTTTCCTTTTGCCTCAGAAAGACACTGATTCAAGATGCCGGATGCCCGTTGACTCCCCAAATCTGGTGGCTGTTATTCCAAAGCCTCACTTGTTTTTAGAGACTCGTTTATGGATCAAGAGAGCTTTAAATTTGCCTTTCCTGCCAAATGTGAAGACCATCTTCTAGGGGGCCATCTTTTCGTCCATGCTCCAGGCCTCCTAGAACATCTCCTCTCAGAAACACTGAGACTTTGAGTAACACTGACATCAACTAGATAAAGAGGGTTGGCTTTTGCCCGTGCAACGTGACTGTTTAGGAAAGCAGTGTCCTTAGGAGGGTTTCTTTGTCCAGCCCCCTTCACCAAATCTCTCATTTGGGGAACATCGTTAAAATGTAAGGATAGATAGTGGTAGGATCTAGTAGAGACAAAGCATAGTCTTGGTTTGGAGGTGATGAAATCTGGGCTTGAACCCGCCACACTGCTGTCAGCAAGGCAGATGACCGGTAAATATCTAACTGTCAGGCAGCTGGAAAAGTTCCAGGAGGAAAGGGAGGTCTAGGAGTTAGCTATTGGATATTTGGTCACAGGACAGTGACTTTCAGAGGGGGAAGTCATTCACTAGGATAGCTGAAACTGGAGAAATGGAGGAGAACCCCATTCACAAGGGTAGGGGTAGTGAGGCATCAGAAGAGTAGCTGTCAAATCTCCATCCTATGAAAGTAGAAGGCAAGGACTCAGGCACAGAAGTAATCAGTGGGGAATCAACGTTCTGCAAATATTGGGGTGCGAGGATGAGATTCGATCAGCAGTGAGAGCCTGATCCAGCGTTGGGGCTGATGGTCTGCTGGCCAGCTTTCCTTACCCACCGCGTACAGAGGATCTGAATTATTCCGGTCTGAGCTGGAACTTTCCTACACTGCAGACAGGGACTAAGCAGCCCAAGATGCAAACTCGCAAGTTCAGAGTTAGGGAGACGATAACTTCAAGAAGCTAGAAGTCCAATTTTATGTGTTCACGCTTGAGGATGATAATTTCTGTACTAATAATTTCACAAACAAGTTGAACATCAATTTACTCAAAAGCATAAGAGATTGCTAAAGAGATAACACACCGGGGACTCTGTTATCAACACGGGACTAGAATAGGATCCCGGAATAACTGCAAATTGGCCATATTCACATACCATCAATACCACTGAGTTTTCATTACCTTTCAGATTATTGATGTATTGGCAGCTACTGCCACATGCAACCAAAGCCCAAAGTCAATACTATATCAAGGAGGTTGCATATTTAGAAGACAGTACATTTTAGAAAAAGAAAACAGAATTAGAGGTTAGGGTTCTGCTATTTTCTTATTGCTTTGTAGGGACGTAAGCCTTTATCTGGTAAATTTCAAAGCTAGAGGCATTTCTAGGTTATTCCTTTAAAGGTATTTAATCCTTGGGGTTCCTGGGTGGCTCAGTTGGTTAAGTGTCTGACTTGAGCTTAGGTCACGATCTCGTGGTTCGTGAGTTTGAGCCCCGCGTCAGGCTCTGTGCTGACAGCTCAGAGCCTGGAGCCTGCTTTGGATTCTGTGTCTCCGTCTCTCTCTGCCTCTCCCCCCCCCCCCCACTCAAAAATAAAGAAACGTTAAAAAAATTTTTTTAAATACAAAAAAATAAAGGTATTTAATCCTCTATTTAGCAAGATTGATGGGGGAGATACTTCTAGTCTTAAAAATGTTTGGTAAGTTTAATGCCTTTTGTTTTTCTTCAAGTTTTTTTTTTTTTTCCAAGCTATGGATTGTGATGTGCATAATGCAGCAATCCTATCATTATCTTAAAGGAAAAAATGATGTTTTATTCTTAACTTACCCTTGAATTAAATATATAGAGAAAATGACTAAAATTATATAGTTAAGACTAAGTCTAGGGAATTCAAGAAGAAGGGGAAATTACAATGCCTATGTGTTCTATACTTTTTACCCTTCCCCTGCCATGTAAAGAATTAATTGTGGAGGTATAATCTGGTTAAAATGTTACGGAGGAGAGTATTGATGGGGAAAGGAGACAGAGACGGGAAAGAGGCTTTGAGGGATAAATAAGTAAGTTACAAAAAGTAGGCATGGTTGTGGTACAGAGATTATAAGGACACATTATAGATTGATTTTATGTATACATGTCTATTATTGCCTAAAGTCCTTTCTCAGTAACACTTGACCGTGCTATGTCCCGTTCCCTAATTTACTACCTTCATGAGTCCAGTGCTTGGTGTCCATAATAGCATGGGCTGTACAGTGTTGAGGTGGTTATTTTGGTATGGTTTACCCAGAGGCAGCTCAGAGGTATGGTTTACTCAATGCACAGCATTTTCTTTCCAAAGTTTGCCTTGTTTCCAAGTCTACATCTTATGGTCACCAACCACCACCACTCATGCTGATGGTTAAGACAATGATCTGGGATAAAGAAACCTTGTTTCTAGCTAGTTATTTTAGAAAAATCCTTTAATCTTTTGAGTCAATTTCCTCCTTATTAAAATGAAGGGGTTGCATTAAGTCTCTTTCAGTTTTAAATGTTTGTGCGTTTACCAGTTACCCTTTATTACTAAGGCAGGTACTTGTTAGAGGTCAGTATTCTTGCTGGGAACTAGGCTGATGAGAATAGTGCATAACCATAGATACATTACAAAATTCAGTAACTAAGAGTGCCTGGGTGGCTCAGTCAGTAAAGCATCCAACTCTTGATTTTGGGTCAGGTCATACTCTCTCAGTGGTGAGATCGAGCCCCCGAGTTGGGCTCCATGATGGGTGTGAAGCCTGCTTAAGATTCTCAATCTCTCTCTCTCTCTCTCTCTCTCTCTCTCTCTCTCTCTCCTCAAGATAAATAAATAAACTCAAAAAGATAAAAATTTAAAAAAACAACAACTTACCTGTTTAGCCTTGGATTTGGCTAGATGCAGGTGGGTAGGGAATGTTTCCCTGAGAGTTTCTTGCAACAAGCAGGTCCTCTTACATTTTAAGGCACAAATTCACGCTACCTATGTGTCCCTAGGTACCTGGAAAAGACAAATGTAAATCCATTCTGCAATAATCCAACTTAAAACAGACTTTAGGGGCGCCTGAGTGGCTCAGTCAGTTAAAGGCCTGAGTCTTGTTTTTGGCTCAGGTCATGATCTCCTGGTTTGTGGGTTCAAGCCCCATGTCAGGTTCCGTGCTGATGGGGTGGAGACTGCTTGGGATTCTCTCTCTATCCCTCTCTCTCTACCCCTCCTCTGCTCCATCTCTCTTTCTCTCTAAATAAATAAATACACTTAAAACAAAAGTAAATTAAAAACAAAAAAAAGACTTCAGTGGTGCTTGGGTGGCTCAGTTGGTTAAGCATTCGACTTCGACTCAGGTCATGATCTCACGATTGGTGAGTTTAAACCCCACATCAGGTACTCTGCTGTCAGTGCAGGGCCCACTTCATATCTTCTGTCCTCCTCTCTCTCTGCCCCTCCCCCACTTGTTCTCTCTCTAAAAAATAAATAATCACTAAAAAAAAAAAAACCCACAGACTTCAAGAATAACAAGGGATAAATTTATAACAACTGACTCACAGTCAGAAAATACAAAATACATGAGGAACACAAGTCATCATGAATGAGAGTTAACAGAAATAATAAATAACAGGGGCTCCTGAGTGGCTCAGTCGGTTGAGTGTCCAACTTCAGCCCAGGTCATGATCTCGTGGTTCTGTGGGTTCCAGTCCCACATCGGGGGCTCTGTCCTGACAGCTCAGAGCCTGGAGCCTGCTTTGGATTCTGTGTCTCCCTCTCTCTGCCCCTCCCCCACTGGTGCTCTGTCTCTCAAAAATGAATAAACATTGAAAAATATTTTTAAAAAAATAATAATAAATAACAGAAATCAGACTTGAAAGACTAAACATATTTAGGTTTTCAGATTTGGATGTAAAATAAGCACGGTTAATTTGCATAAATACATGAAAGAGGGTATCAGATATACGACTTGGAAACAGGAGACTCAATTATTAAGGATATTCAAATTACTTAATTTGGTGAATCACTTAATTTTAGCTAGGTGTTGTACTTTAATACTTGCTTTAAACTGTATTATTTTTTAAAATGTAAAATAAATTAGTATAAAAATAAAGAAATATTAAATTTATTTTAGTCTTCCAAAAAAAAAAAAAAGATATCCCCATATCATGGTTGGTAAAGTCTTGTAACATTTTCTATTTGAACAATAGTAATTGCTATATACCCTTCGGTACCGGTGTTAGCTTTTGCTGTGTAACAAATCATGCCCCAAATAAAGTGCCTTGTAGCAGAGTCTCATCCTTTTAAATTTCTTTCTTTTTTAATTTATATCCAAGTTAGTTAGCATATAGTGCAACAATGATTTAGAGAGTAGATTCCAACGATTCACCCCCTATGTATAACACCCAGTGCTCATCCCAAGTGTCTTCCTTAGTGCCCCTTACCAATTTAGCCCACCCCCTCCACAACCCCTCCACAACCCTCTGTTTGGTCTCTATATTTAAGAGTCTTTTATGTTTTGTCCCCCTCCCTGTTTTTATATTAGTTTTGCTTCCCTTCCCTTATGTTCCTCTGTTTTGTCTCTTAAAGTCCTCATGTGAGTGAAGTCATATGATATTTGTCTTTCTCTGACTGACCAATTTCGCTTCACGCAATGCCCTCCAGTTCCATCCACGTAGTTGCAAATGGCAAGAGTTCATTCTTCTTGATCGCCGAATGATAATACTCCATTGTATATATGCATACCACGTCTTCTTTATCCATTCATCTCTTGATGGACATTTGGGTTCTTTCTACAGTTTGGCTACTGTTGATAGTGCTAGTGGTGTCTCATTCTTTGCTCACAATTATGTGGGTAAGCAATCGGGGTCTGTTTTGCTGCATGCAAGGTGAGCTGGACTCAGCTCACTCTATGTCATCTGAAAAGGCTGGATTGGCTGGGAAGTCTGGCTCCTCTCTCCTAGGGCTCTCTCACCCACTTGGAGACTAGTCTGGACTTTTTCTGAGTAGGAGTGGGCAGAGTCCCTGAGAGAGGACAAGCCTTTATGCATAAGTACTTTTCAAGCCTTTGCTTGCAACCTATTTGCTAACGTCCCATCGGCCAAAGCAAAGCACATGGTCAAATCCAGATTTAAGGAGGGTGAACTAGACTGTTTCCTGAGGGGGGGAGCTGCAAAGCAACGGCGCAAAGGGGTATACACCTACGATAGAAAGAATTGATAGCCTTTTTTTTTTTTTTTTTTTTTTTTTTTGCTGTCACAGTACATTAGAGTGGCTACCCAACTGAAAGAAAAATAGGGGGAAATGTGCAGAGGCAGCTTAAAGAGTAGGCCCTGGAGCGGAGTGAGGATCATTCATTCGTTCACCAACCTTTATCAAAGACGCATAGTCCCGTGAGGAGCTCATACTCTGCCCCTGGGATGTGTGCGCTTTCACTTCAGATCCATTTCACTGTCATCCATTTAGGGTGTATAAACCGGTTATCTAGTCCAAGCAGATCGTTAGGTACAAATTAGGTACAAAGGAGGCAAATAAGCATATGTGTTGCATAAAGCCATTTCACTCATGTTCCCATACAGAGCTGTCTTTTAAATTGTTTCCAGTTTCCATTCTAGTTCACTTCTTTCCACTGCCAGTCCAAAACCAGAGCCATTTATTTGTTTGGTTAGTTTAGCTATATACCCCGACTGCTACTAAGAAGATTTGAAGCAGCTGCTAAATTTCTCTTTCTCAGTTCCCTTGGGTACTAGGGAAGCACATTCCTTTCTATCTGAGCCCTGAGTCTGGCCTCTCAGTGCAAGTGAAAACTGCACTCTTGATGGCCAAGTAAACCCCTACCTAGTTTAACACTGATTCTTATAAAATGTTCTTAACTCCAGTTTCCTTTTGCTGGGAATAAGAGCTGGGCTTATCTCCCCTAAGCTGTTCTTGCTCTAAAGCTCTCACATCCATGCAGAAAGGATGGTTTCTCTGCAAGCTTAATGTATTTTCATTCTTCTTCTTAACCTGCACCAGCTCCTGTCAGTGACACAAGGCTCGTATCCTGATTTCCTTAGAAAGCATTGTCCTCTGCGTTAAAGTTTATCATATGCCTTGCACCGGGATATATTTCCCAAATCTATACATTAATTTTCAAATAGAATTTGCAAAGACTATAGCTTTCCTTTTTTAAACAATGTGATTATTGCTAATAAATACCAAATTTTTTTTATCAAAAAATGTTCCTAATATGGAAACTCTTATATTTTTGCTGTTCTGTAACATAAGTACATAATATATATATATATTTTTAAAGCATACTATCCAGTGAAGACGAAATTGATCTATTTTTATTCTTTCTGAAGTCACAGTCCTGATACGGTCATTCTTTTTTTTCAAAGTTTCCATGCTTGCTATTTCTGATAGAAAAAAATTGACTTGGGGCACCTGGGTGTCTCAGTCGATTGAGAGCATCCGACTCTTAATCTCAGCTCAGGTCTTACTCTCAGGGTCTTGATCTCAGGGTTGTGGGTACAAGCCCTGCACTGGACTCTGTGCTGCACATGAAATCTACTTTAAAAAAAAAATTGACTTACAAAATAGGGCAAAACTTGGTCCTAGTTGAAACACACTGTTAATATGGAAAGGGAGTTAACAGGGTGACCCCTAGAGAAAGGCAGAAGAAAAATGCTCTTTTCAGAAAACACCTAGTGGGAAGATTTTATCACATACCACTCATAATGGAGATAAACACCTAAAGTTCCCAACGTGGGGGTGCCTGGGGGGCTCAGCCGGTTAAGCGTCCAACTCTTGGTTTTGGCTCAGGCCATGAGCTCACAGTTCGTGAGTTCAAGCCCCACACCAAGCCTGCTTGGGATTCTCGCTCTCTCTCCCTTTCTCCCTGCCACTCCCACTCTCTGACTCTCTCTCTCTCTCAGAGTAAATAAACTTAAAAAATAATAATAAATTGCCCAATGTGATCTGAAGATTTTTAAACCCAACACTCCCAGATTCAAACTCTAGTTCTGCACTTTTACTGGCTGCGTGTTCTGAGGCACATTATTAAAGATTTGAAAAACGCTTAGCAAAACAACTAAACCACCCATTATGTGTGGACCCTCTACTATTCGTGCGTCATTTATACAGGCGCAGCTCAGAGGTACTACAGGTTCAGTGCCAGACCAGTGCAATCAAGGGAATATTGCAATAAAGCCAGCCAAATGAATATTTTGGTTTCCCAGTGCGTATAAAACTTAATTTTTACATGCTGCTGAAGTCTATTAAGTGTGCCCTACCATTACGTCTAGGAAAACAATGCATCTACCTTAATTTAAAACTACTTTATTGCTAAACAAGACTAACCATCATCGAGCTTTCAGGGAGTCATAATCTTTTTGCTGCCAGGAGGTCTTGCCTCGGGGTGGGTGGCTGCTGAAGGTGGGCGCCGCTGTGGCAATGTCCTAAAATAAGACACAAAGTTCGCCACATCAGTTGGCCCTTCCTTTCACAAATAATTCCTCTTTGAAATGTGATCCTGTTTGATCGTATTTTATCCACAGTGGTACTTCCTTTCACAATTGGAGTCAATCCTCTCAGACCCTGCCACTGCTTTATCAACTAAGTTTATTTCATATTCTAGATCTTTGCTGTCATTTCAAGTCTTCACCGGGAGTAGATCCCGTTGCAAGAAACCACCTTCCTTGCTCGTCTATAAGAAGTGTCTCCTCGTCTGTTCAAGTTTGACCAAGAGATGGCAGCCATTCAGTCCCATCTTCAGGCTCCATTTCTAATTCTAGTTCTTATGCTATTCCCACCACATCTGCAGTTACTTTCTCCACTGAAGTCTCGAACCCCTCTGAGTCATCCAGGAAGGTTGGAATCAACTTCTTCCAAACTCCTGTTCATGTTGATATGCTGACCTCTTCCCATGAATCACAAATGTTCTCAATCAATGGCATCTAAATGGTGAATCTTTTCCAGAAGGTTGCAATTTACTTTGTCCAGATCCATCAGTGTAATCATTATCTAGGGCAGCCATAGCCTTACAAAATGTATTTCATAAACAGTAGGACTTTAAAGTCAAAATGACTCCTTTATCCATGCGCTACAGAATGGATGTTGTGTTAGCAGATGAGAAAACCACATTAATCTTGTTGATCATCTCCATCAGAGTTCTTGGGTGACCAAACTTTATTGTCAATGCACAGTAATATTTTGAAAGGAATCTTTTTTTCCTTAATTTTATTTATTTATTTATTTTGAGAGAGAGAGAGAGAGAGAGAGAGACAGAGAGAAAATCCCAAGCGGGATCCACACCCAATGCAGAGCCTAACACAGGGCTCGATCTCATGACCATGAGATCATAACCTGAGCTGAAACCAAGAGTTGGATGCTAAACTGACTGAGCCACCCAGGCACCCCCAAAGGAATCTCTTTTTCTGTGCAGTAGATCTCAACAGTGGGCCTAAAATATCCAATAAAATATCCAATCCAGGCTGTGTTGTCCCCTTTATAGACTATAGACAGAGTGGATATAGCATAATTTGGGGGGGGGGGGGGGGCGCTAGAATTTCCGGAATGGTCGATGAGCATTGGTTTCAATTGGGAGTCACCAGCTACGTTAGCCTCTAATAAACAAGTCAGTCTGCCCTTTGAAGCTTTGAAGGCAGGCATTGACGTCTCGTAGGTATGAAAGTCCTAAATGGAATCTGGCTGTTGGGTGCAAAAGGCCTAGCTTTTGGCTTATCTCAGCTTTTGACATGCCTTCCTCGCTAAACTTAATCATTTCTAGTTTTTGCTTTAAAGTGAGACACGTGGGACTCTTCCTATCACTTGAACACCGAGAGGCCATTGAGGGGTTACTAAGTAGCCTAATTTCAATATTGTTGTATCTCAGGAAATAGGGAGGCCTGAGGAGGAGAGAAATGGGGGAATGACTGGTGGGTGAAGCAATCAAAACACACACAACATGTACTGGTTAAATTTTCCTTCTTACGTGGGTGCAGTTTGTGATGTTCCCCGCCCCCCCCCGCCCCCCGCCGAAAACAACTACAATAGTAACAGCAAGGATCACTGATCAGAGATCACCATAACAGGTATAATAATAATAACAATAATGATAATGATAATGATAATGATAAAATATTGCTAGGGTTACCAAAATGTGACACAGAGACACAAAGTGAGCAAATGGTGTTGGAAAAATGATACTGATAGACTTCATCGATGCAGGGTTGCCACAAACCTTCAATCTGTAAAAAACACAGTCTCTGCAATAAAGTGAAGTACAATAAAATGAGTATTAGGCAGTAAATTGTAGGCAATATGACACATAAAAAGGGGATGGCCGGGGCGGCTCCGTTGGTTAAAAGTTCCACTCTTGATTTTGGTTCAGGTCTTGATCTCACGATCATGAGATCGAGCCCCAAGTCGGGCTCTGCCCTGAGAGTACAGAACCTGCTTGCGACTCTCTCTCCCTCTCTCTCTGCCCCTCCCCCTCTTGCACTTTCTTTTCCCTTCTCTCTCAAAAATAAAAAAAAATTCAAAAAAAAAAAAAAAAAAACCATGAAAGGAAGGATAGCAGCCAATCCCAAACTTTTTCTCCTCTTACCTGTTGCTTTAAATCAGTTCTCAGAAAGAGAAAGTAGAGTGAGCTGCATTATTATTACTATTATTTTTATTTTTACTCTGCAGAATTATCTTTCAGATTTGAACGACTTCATTGAATGGAGATGCCACAACTAGCCAAAATTAAACAACTTAGAGCACAACAAGGTATATTTCTTTCCGTATTTGAGAACTGAATTAGCTACAAGAACAAAAAAACATCCAAAATCACGGTGGCTTAACAAAATAGCCGATTATCCTCTCTCCCACATTTAAAAAAAAAAAAAAAAATCTAGCAGTAATCTCTCTTGGGCTGGTAAACTATTTCATGGTGCCAGGAAACCAGGATTCTATGTTTTGCTCTCTCATCCTTAGCACGTGGTTGCCACGTCATAGTCTGAGATGGCTTCTTCAGGCTCCAGATATCACATTCACGTTGTAGCTAGAGGAAGGGGAAACGAGTAACAGCCCTTTCCCTTTAAGGACATTTCCTGAAAGCTCCTTGTGCAACATCTGCTTGTATCATACGGGACAGAATCTAGTCACATGACTACATCAAGCTACAGGAAAGTGGGGAAATACAGTCTTCTTCTGGACAGAGATAGGGCCCCTCAAAAACTAGGGATTCCGCTGAGAAAAAAAAAGGAGAAAAATTATTAGAAGAAAACCTCTCTGTCACGGAGGGCTTTTAGATTTGTAATGTTCCGTAGGTAAATTAAACACATTTTTTTTTAATGTTTATTTATTTTGGGAAGAGAGAGACTCACAGAGTGCAAGTGGTGGGAAGGGCAGAGAGAAAGGGAGACACAGAATCCGAAGCAGGCTCCAGGCTCCAAGCTGTCAGCACAGAGCCTGACATGGGGCTAGAACTCACGAGTTGTGAGATCATGACCTGAGCTGAAGTCAGACGCTCAACCGACCGAGCCACTCAGGCACCCCATGTTCCCATAGATACATTAATTTATTATGTAAACAGGTCAGTAGCTCTCCGAACAGCAAAATAACTCCCACAGAGTAAATATCAAAAATCTGTTTTAGAATTTTGCAAACTAAATTTAACTTTCCAAATGATGATTTAAGATGGCCTTTTTTGATAGAACCGATGAATATTCCTTTTTCTAGAAGCATCCTTCATGATGAAGAAAGAATGAAAGCCAGTTGGAAAACAACATCTTTTTTTTTTTTTTTTTTTTACTGTTTATGTATTTCTTTTGAGAGAGAAAGCATGAGCAGGGAGGGGCAGAGAGAGAGAGGAAGAAGGACAGAATCCCAAGCAGGCTGAACACCGTCAGTGCAGAGCCCAATGTGGGGCTCGAACGCATGAACCGTGAGACCGTGACGTGAGCTGAAATCAAGAGCCGGACACTCAACTCACTGAGCCACCCAGGCACCCTGGAAAACATCTTAAAAGGAAGGAATTTGGTGCCACCACCCAGTTGCGTTCCGCTTGGCAAGCAGACAACACTGATACAAGTTTGGAGCCCTGCTGATGGAGTCATATGTCCCTGCTAGGCTGGAAGGACCACATGGCCACACACCTGCTCGCATGGGCCAA